CATCCGCGGCTCGGCAGGCGGGTTGGGCTCGTTGGGGGGCGAAGGAGCGCTTGGCAATGTCGGAGGCTCCATCGGCATTGGAGGGTCACTGACCCCAAAGGGGCGCGAGGGCCGTGGCGGCGGCGAGGGCGGCTGCGGCAAGCCAATGACGCCGACAGGGCAGCACTCGTAGTCGTCAACCTTCTTGTCGTACAGAGAATATTCAATTTTGCGCGTGTTGTACGAAAACATGTTCAAGTTCCAGCACGGCCGCTTGAGATTGAAGCAAACACGCACATCCCGAATGGCATCTGGGCTCTTCAACCACTGCATCAGCGGTGTCACCTTCATCACATCCTGCCCCATGTGACGCTCAAAGTATATGGAGCTGACGCTGTAATTCTTGCCACTGGGTGTCAGGACGTTGACGCTGCCCACAGAGCCGCGACAACCGAGCGCTGTGGGGGGGGATGTCGGAAGGGGGGGGGGGCAAACACGCGGCTCATTCATCAAAGCACACTCGGGCCCGGCGGGCAGAAGGGGAATTATGACACCGCCAGGCTGAGCGAACTCAGGCGCGGCTCGGGTGTTGAAGGAACGGGAACATTTTGGTGGAAGAGGATGAAATGAAAGAGGACTTGGTTGTTTGTGGGAAGAGGAGGTGAGGAGGGGGATGGAGGGCGATGGGATCTAAAAATTGGCGCATACTGAATTCAAGGCGGAGGTGAGGGTGAACCGTCCAAAGGTGGTTTTTTTCTGAGAGCCGGTGGCCGGCGGCGAAGGACCGTCGAAGACCAGACCAGATAGAGCGCAATTGTCTTGTACTGACAAAACTAGCTTGGTGTGAATTGCTAATTGAGCATGCCTTAACATTTGACAGGGCAAGAGATTCAGAGTTTAGGCAGTGTCGATCGCGACTCCCGGCGGCGACTTCAGCGCCCGTACCGTAGGAGAAAGTCGGCGAGTTATGGTGGGCTGACGAAAAAAGGCTTTAGGTGGCTAAACCGCTTGCATCATCGCTGACAATTCACCGATTAATCCACTCTTACATGGGGATAGCTTGATCTTGTTGATGTAGGCGGTCGGGTTGCAACAGCGGTAGGGACCCGAGACGCATGTCGGCCCAACATGGAGTCGAATGCAGAAAGTAGACGTATTTCTGATCGTGTCCACAGAATAGCTGGAAAAGGATGCTGAGAATCTGCTGTACTTGGTGTTTTGCACACAGTTCTCATACTGCATAGAAATGGAAAACGTCACAGGGTAAGGAATGTTTACCTGATGAAGGAGTTGCTGTAAGGCAACAATGATCAAGCAGGCTAGACAGGTACCTTAAAAGTGTGGTTGGGAAGGTACTCGGCACCAAGAACCCGTGCATTGAAATTAGGTGTGACACCCTAACTTGTAAAACTACTTAGATAGTACAATTGACTAGCAGTCATGCTCACCGGAAACATTGTGCCAGTAAGGTAGCTTGCTCGCACGAAAACCGCCATGCCCGCGACGAGCGCGAGCATCAGCACGGCGCCAGGACTGAAAGAGGGCGACCGGATTAACGTTAGCTAATGTTACAAGGAGTGTACATTGAATCATTCCGAGACCTGGAAAGGTACCTTGCGCCGCTCCGAGCCATCTGACACCGTTAACCTTATCGGATTTTTACACAGGCAATCGTTGATCTTTTTAGCCGGCTTCCCGTAAGAAGAACTGGTCACTTCGAACAGGCTTAAAATTAACAACCGGGAAAAGGTCTAAGGCGAACACCTCCTCAAGTAACGTGCCAGGTTTTGTGTCTAACACCGATATGGAAGGTGCATGAGCTATAAAACGCTTTCTTGTAAAGCTAGGCGGGAATAAGAGAGGCTATAGTAAGAGATGTAAGTCAAAGTGAGTCACTCTCCCTCATACCACATCCCGCATTACAGCGAGTGTATACAAATAAACTTCTGCACAAGCCTTTAAGTATTTACAGCATCCATAACGAACGAAGCTGCAGTGATGCTATGTACTACCTGTTGTACGGGCCGGGTAAGTCCATGTCCCAAAACTGTATTTACCGCCAAGAAGAAGAATACAGTTTTGTAAACATATGTAAAATAAAATTGCCTCAGCAGATCAGCACTACGGGCTCTTCAAGCAACCGAGTTTGCCGTTCGACATGTTACATGTTGTAATTTAAGAAATAGATAATGTAGAAAGATTGGAGTTTTATGTTTGAATGGAGCTGATTATACAGGAGGATGTTGCAACCGTAGCAAATGATACTATCGTCGCTTTGCTGTTTGCCATGATCTATGACAGACTGGGCAATCAGGATGAATTTTGGATGCTCAGAGAATTGTTTCCATACTTTGAATAGGTGCAGCCTGTTGCGCCTGTCCTGGGAGTCGATTTTACGAACACACAGTTCCGTTACCGCGCCTCCCTGTCTACCGCAGCCGTTGATCGCCCTGCTACCGAAATGGTATATTTTTTAAGCGTCTCCATCCATACACAGCGAGCTGTCAGACTCAGCGGGAGAAACACTACTCCTACAATCCATCATCGCAAAAGAGTTGCTAATCAGAGTCCTCCAGAGTTCCGCTGGTTGCTCGTCCTTGCGATAGAAATTTTATCGAGACTTTGACAGCTCGGCCATGATGCCCCCCGCTTGCGCTCCCCAGCACGTTGTTTCTGCAACCGCAACCATCATATAACCGATAGGCGGACATAGCAACATCTGGAGAGGAGTTGTTTTGATGCTCACAGCTGATTTTAGACGAAACAGACAAGAAGTGTTTTTCGCCAATAGAAATGTGATTTTCAATAACCCCAAATTCAAAAGTGGGCTCAACTGCGAGAATGCGCCACGCAGCTTTGCGGCGATCTCTGCTGGAACGGCATGAGTTGGTTAACGAAGATTGTACTATAAGTCCGTCGCTGCTCTTCCGAATTGAACGAACGTGACTGAATCGTCCCTCTGATCGCCGAGCGACCGATTCATAAGCCTGTTGCCAGGACAACCTGACTCAACGTGACAGGGAAAATAATCCTTTGCATTTTTCACTTCAAGATGTATAGCAATCAACCGATGCAGTTCCAAGACATACAGTTGCCTGACGAAAACTCAGCCTAGCATTTCAGCGCCCAACAGCGTCCTTGTTTTATCGCAAGAGCATGACTTACACACTTGTTGACCGCTGTTACGGGAAAACAAAAAAGTTGCACCTCCGATACGACCTGACGACGTAGATTTACTCAACGCCATGACTACACGGCGAACTAGCTCATACATGCAGTACCCACTTAGGGGCTCAAACACAAAGCATCCCCCCCGCTTTATCTTCATGCGCTGCTTGACTCCCAATCTTGGAGCTCTCGGAAACCGGGGACGACGCGCGTTCAGCCTGGGTATGCCTGATAGCCTCACCCAGTCTCGTGCGCAGGAAGGAGTAGCCTTGACATAGTATGTGAAAAATTAGACTGCGAAATGGTATGAAAATGATTATAAATATTATATGCCCTCAGCGGCCAGTAAGGTAGCAAGGTTCTGCTGGCAATGAACGCATATGCGTTTTGTGTGCTGGTGCCCGACCTCGATAGATAGCGCTACGTGAGCTGTTCCGAAGCTCCCACTCCCCCATCCAGTTTAGCTCCAAATTCATTTTGTAAAAGGTGCTGTGTCACTGATACGACGCGCGCTGAAGCTCCTCACATAGCTGCGTGTGGTGTATTGCTCGCTTTGGATCGGCATCAGAAAGGCGCAGTCAGCTAAACGCCGCACGCGCTGGCTCCCCACCATGTTTGAAGCACTTGCCCGCCAAAGACTACCTGCATGCTTTGAGATGCCTTTTGAATTGCGTCAGGTGACGGAGCGTGCTGTAACTTTTTTACAGCCGTATTAGAAAAAGTAATAAGAGTTTTAGGTACGGATGGGTTTTCCGCCCATATCTGCCTTTGAGAAAACCGTTTGAGATTGTGTGATTTCTGTGCGACTGCGGATTTTGCCCGCCACTGGTACGGCCAGTTGCACCTGCTGCTGAGGAGGAGCCCGAGCCGGCTGGGACTGCACTGAAGCTCCGAGCAGTTTCTTGAGCACAGTGTTAGTTAGCATCATCGTTACGTAGCCAGGACACTGAACAGATAATCTGTGAACTAACACGCCAAGCGTTTAAGCCTGCTGTACTAACTATTTTTTAACTGCTAACGGACGACAATTACTGAGCGGTCAGGTTTGCATAGTATTCGCTGATCGGCGGTAAACAACTTTTAAGTCTGCCATACGCACATGATTTGTCGATGCTACAGTCGTATGACGCGACACAGGCGGATAGTTTTAATGTACCGTTTTAATGTACCGACGTCGCCTTGGAATGAGGCTTGCCAAGCCACGCACTGTCCATACGCAGCCGGTCAGCTCGGCATTGATGCCGTTCTTGCGCACCTACAGGGACGCGCTGGTCCCGGTTGGAATGGCCTCAACTGAAAGCTATCCGTCCAAAGCTATCCGTCTATGCGCGACAACCTGGCTTTCCTTCTCTCTTTTGTGCAAGCGTGTGCGACCGTGTGTGTGAGTCTGTGTGTATGTGTGTGTCTTTATGTATATATGTATATATGTATGTATGTGTATGTATGTGTGTGTGTGTTCGTGACGCGGCGGGTGAAGGGGTCTCGTGCGCCGTGTGTGCGTGGAAGCCTCTATCCCGATCAGCACAGCGGTGATAGGCACCTGCCGGGAAACAACTGCCGTTAATTCCTGTTTCGTTGAGGAAAGGGGTCTCGATAGGCTGGAAGGTGGTGGTTGCGCTGCTAGAGAATAGCAGCCCGGATGATTCGGTTAGTTCGGCATAATTTTCCTCACGAGGGAAACAGTTTCTTGTGCGTTTTTTTAATTTGACACCTATCTATTTCAAAGAGCCTTCGGCTTCCTCGGGGTCCTAGATTGGGTCCCTCCCTCCAGAGGCTCCAGAAATGGGCTCCCAGGTTACGTCTTACTAGAAGAGTAACGCAACTCCAGACAACATGTAACACATATACACATATACACATACACACAACGCACAACACACACACACATCAATGTTTTTTAACTTCGTTGCGGGTTTCTTTTATACCTGATAATATATGGATTAATGTTGCACAAAATGCGCCCTAACCAGATGCATACCTGGCTAAGAGATTCAGTAAAATGATAAATCGTACGACGAAGTATAGCAGTACACAGTACGGAAATGTAATGCCTGATGCAACTGAGCTACATCACAATCACAACATTAAAAACCAGGACTGCCCGTCACCCCATGCGTACCCTAGGCCCCCAAAGCCATTCCGGAAACCTCTTTCTCTCTTGCTCAGTCTCGGCGGCGTCCTGGCAACGTTTGCGCAAAACGCACCACATGTCACGCACCCCAACCATGTAACACACACACGCACCACATGTAACAAAAGGCTACACAAAACACACGGGTGCGCACATCAGTGGACGCTCTCTCCCCGTATACAGCCTGATTTTTCGACGTACGCAAACTATTTTCCTCCTTTAAACCAAACCATTGCAACCCCAACCCCAACCCCAACCCCAACCTCAACCGCAACCTCAACCGCAACCAACGACGGCCAACCAACGTCAATCCCAACCGTCCACTGCAAGGCAATGCATTCAAGCTGCAGCAGTCAGCTTTCCACCGAGAGCCCTTGCGCCTTGCGCCTCAAAGGAGAAGAAGAAGAACAAAATGAAGATTGCAGCACAGTGCGGAAATCACACTCTCCGAAACCCAACGACGCCGGAACGTTTTGCTCTGGCGGGCGACCTTCGTTCCCGCGGAACTGCATCCTCGTCGATCGCTCAAATCGATTCACACCCTGGGGCCGGGGAAGAAGAGGGAGCCCGCGAAGGGCGAGTTAAGGGTTCAGCACGGAAGGTCTTGTGGCATGATGCGCCTGGGTTTGGCGGTCGTCAGCGCCGCCTGTTTAGTTGATGTGGCCGATATGAAACCGGCATCAAATGGTGGGTAGGAGGTAGGAACTGCGACTGCTACCAATAGAAACATAAGTTTTGTGCTTGAAAAGATTTAAAATAATATTTTAAGCTTGGTGTACTGGTCGAAATGTGCTAATCCGGAAAATTTGGGCGTAAGGCGGATTTCGGGCGGTCTTGGTGGGCGGCCTGCCAACCAAGGCGTGTTGCAAGGCGTGCTGTAAGAGTTGCTTATTGCAAATGAATCATTAATAAAAAATACTTTGTTTGTCACCAAATAGACAAAAGTGCGCAACTGAAATAGAAATTTAACCATTTTCGTTTGTGAGGCGACTTTGCGTTGCGGCAGGCCGCGGACCGCCTCGCGGCGCAAACAGGGCTTTCCCTTAGGTCCGCTATCGGCGAGCGAAACCTTCTCCCACCTTCTTTTTTATTTTTACCGGCCACTTTCCTTTTTATAATATAATATAACAAAGCTTCAACAATTCCTAAATCCCCGAGCGCATCATAGTAGCACAGCAACGGTAGCCAAACAACCAGGCCAGCCAACGACCCAGCCAACCGCCCAGGCAATACACCAGGGCATCAGGCTGATGCTGGAGATATGGGCGCAACCAGGCTAGGGCAGATCAATCTGGGAGCTGAGATTCAACAGCTAAGGGGAAGGACGAGGCTATCCCGGCCACCCACGCAAGTGAAGCAGTACCTAGGTGCCTGGGGCCGCTGAACCGCCGGTAACGGAAACTGCTCTACCAAGGGCACAGCGAGCCAGTATGTGTGTGTATGTGTGTGTATGTGTGCAGTGTTTTTTTTCGTTTTGGGCCTAATACCCTAGAGTAATAATACAATTCCTTTTTGTATAGTCGCTCATATATGCTCAGCTGAGTCGCTGATTGCTGCAGTTGTGCGTTTGCCGGGGGATCCTCAGCTTCGCTCAAATCGCTGGCTTCACTGACTTCAAGAGCGGCAACTACGGCATGCCTATCCTTGTCTTCTGTATTATCTAATCTTCTTCTAAATGTTTGGGGCATTGCGTCTGCGGACTTTCTGAGCCGTTTGCTTTGGTCAAGAATGAACGAATGCCCCGTTGACCTAAGTTGAATGCAACAGCGGGCCGCCTCATGGTGATATCATCAAATATTTTATACATAAATAGTGTATAAGCTCCAAATGTTCAGCTTTATATGTGCAGAAGGCATTTGGGGCGACTTATGGCCGAAGTAATGAACCAGTACGGCCAACTGACCAATTATTCCATTTCTTCCAGGCTCAGACCCCCATTTATTCCCCAAAAAGTAATATATTACCAAAAAAACACTGTATGTGTGTGTATGTGTGTGTATGTTTGTGTGTTTGTTTGTTTGTGTGTGTGTGTGTGTGTGTGTGTGTGTGTGTGTGTGTGTGTGTGTGTGTGTGTGTGTGTCCGTGGGGGAGCCGCGGGCTCGGGGGAATATTCCGAAATTCCGCTGTGCACTAATTAAGCATGCATGCGTTACTTTGCAAATCCCTGGGACACCGACAGGGCCCGTTGTAAATGTACGACACATCAAATTCAAAGGGCCCTTTCAGAGCCGGCACCCGTACTTACAGAAACTCGCAAATGTACGACGGCTGTACATCCGTCGCGCCGCCAGGGCTGTAGCGGAAGCCACAGGATGACGTGGCGGCGTTGCAGGACAACATGTAGTACCGTACTGCAGACCGCGCCCTGTCGTACTGAAAATCGTCCGGGATGAATGACAGCCTCGAGCCGTCGGTGTTGTACCCCGGAATGGCCGCGCCTTGATCCGTACGTATCGTAAGGCCAATCCACGTGTTCAAGGTAGCTCCCGTCTGCAGTCCAGATAAAACACTGCTAGACAGAAAAGCGAATTCCTGGTCCGACCCAACGGCCGTTAAATGACCTCCCAACGCAACGCACGTGGATTCCGCTGCCGTAAATGTTGCGGGCGTGGTGTACAACAAGTAGGCCGAGGTGTCACTGATTAAGATGCGCGGCACTGGGCCCGGCGGCGGCGAGGCTGGTGGTGGCGGTGAGGCCGGTGGCGACGGCGGCGTACGCAGCGGCGGTGGGGAGGGTGGGGGCAGCGGAGAGGCGACTCGTAGCGGCGACGGTGATGG